CGGGGTAGGTAATAGCGGGGTTCCGTCCCGAGGAAGGATGTCTGATAGCGGAAACGAGGTAAGCCTCGTTCCGCGCCTCTTAGTCTGGGTGTATAGAATGACCGACCGGCGTTGGGGAGTGGTAGACCCGTTTGAACGCACTGCAAAGTTCATATATTAATGGTTAAAGGAAAACAATCACGAAACAATTGAAACAATTAATTAACAGAATATGAAACGAAACCGGGCGCAAGGATCTGAATAGAGAGAGAGAGAGAGAGAGAGAGAGAAAAGAAAGGGAAACGATAAGAGGGTGACGTTCTCTTACTACTTGGAGTTAGGTTTGGAAGCTGTAGTCGTCAGATGTGGTCCTGTTCGGTCTGCGTGACGGCATCTCTTTGGTGATTCGAGAATCTTTACCCACCCGGAAAATGGTGCTTAGTGAAGACTCGAAAAATAAGACGTACTGACGAAAACAAGTGACCGTCTAAGTAGGCAAAAATAACCGTCGGCGCAAAAGATCAAAAAGGAGTGTTTCGGTACAAAAGACCAAAAAAGGAGTGACTCAGCACAAAAGACCAAAAAAAAGGAGTGACTCGGCACAAAACACCAAAAAAGGAGTGACTCGGTACAAAAGACCAAAAAAAGGAGTGTCGATGCGGACCGCGGAACCGCGGTTTACATAGCGGTTTTTCCTAATTAGTGGGGTTCAAATTTGGGTGGTGGGATGCTTTTCGGGGTTTTGGATTGGTCGAGATTGTGGGGAGGAAAGGAGTCGGTTGGTATCAACAAGTGTCTTCTTTGGTTTTATGATTCTTCTAAATTTGTGAGAAAATGCACGTGCACCGATTAAGACGAGCGCACGTGCACTGTCGGCACGCGCCCGTCAAACACTTTCCCTGGACTTAGCGTGTCACTTTTGTATTTTATGGTCGCGGACATCGAGAGAATCATCCGCGACTTAGCTGTTAGAAAATTGTTTAGGCGCCAGTACTGACATTAATTGTCGTTTTTAATGGCGCTGTCCAAGGGAAGTGTCATCAGCGGTGCATTAGCTCCCTGAATTCACCGATTCTAACTTGATTTTATTTAGCGTTAATGTAGACACTGGAGTCTTTTACTTTAAACTTTCTCATGGGAAAAGATTTTTTATTAATTTTCTCAGAAGTCTCAAGGGTTGATAACCCCTAGGTCTCCGTGAGAAAGAGAAAAGAGGCAGCGTGAGTCCGCTGGACGTAACATGATGAATAACGCAGTATTTGGTAAAACTACGGAGAATGTGCGCGATCGCGTCGATGTAAAATTACTGACAAAATTGGAAGGCAGATACGGTGCAGAGGCAATGATCTCGAAACCAAATTTTCACAGTCATAGCATCTTTTCGGATAATCTGGTCGCGATAGAACTGCGTAAGCTCGAGGTGAAGTTCGACAAACCGATATACGTGGGCATGTGCATCCTCGACATATCGAAAACGTGTTTGTACGAATTTTACCACGAGTACATGGCACCGCTGTTTCATGGAAAACGTAAAATTATGTACACCGATATAGATAGTCTTATATACCATATAGAATGCGATGATGTGTACGAGACTATGAAACGCGATATTGCCAGATTTGACACGAGTGATTACACGGTTGACAACGCGTACAGCATTCCGCTCGCAAATAAAAAAATTCCAGGTCTTATGAAAGATGAGAACAACGGTGCCATTATGACTGAATTCGTAGGGCTTAGAGCGAAAATATATGCCTCGCGTGTTGAAGGAAGGAAGGATATGAAGAAGGCGAAGGGTGTCAAGAACAACGTTATAGCAAGGTTTATAACGTTCGATGATTATAAGCAGTGCTTGAATGATACAATCAAAATGATGCGTAGACAGTCATGCATAAGATCGAAATTGCCCGAGGTATACATCATATCGGAAACAAAAATCGCTCTAAGTCCACACAATGATAAACGGTATATCATGCCAGATTCCACCGACACGCTGCCATGGGGACATTACCGCTGTAAATAAAACACAGTTGTATTGTATAATATGTTTAATATGTATATAACATGTATAATATGTATAATATGTATAATATGTATAATATGTATAATATGTAGATATATGTATGCTATGTATAATATAATATGTATAATATGTAACGACATTATAATTAATATGTATAATACGTATTTACTTGGGCATCTGTCAATATAACCCCATACAAACATTAGTCGATGTGTGTATCATAAAGTTATTCTCGATTGAAAATGTCAGTTTACGAGCCAAATTCTCGTCATTTGCGGGAGGATTTAATTTTCTGCTCCAATATGAAGAAATCTGCGGCTGAGGTTCATCGAATGCTCTCAAATACTTATGGTAAGGCTGCTATTTGTGAAAGAACGTGTCGTGAGTGGTTTCAATGCTTCAAGAAGTGATTTTGACGTCAAAGACCGGCATAGCGGTGGAAGAGAGAAGGTTTTCGAAGATGCAGAATTGGAGGCATTACTTGATCAAGACTCGTGTCAAAATCAAGAAGAATTGGCACGATCATTGGGAGTGACTTAACAAGACATTTCATAACGTCTCAAAGCCATGGAAATGATCAGAAGCAAGGAAATTGGGTGACGTACGAGTTGAAGCCGAGAGATGTTGAACGGCGTTTGTTTGCTTGTGAACAGCTACTTGAAAGGTAAAGACTGAAGAGATTTCTGCATCACATTGTGACTGGGGACGAAAAATGGGTTCATTACGATAACCCCAAGCGCAGAAAATCATGGGGAGTTTCCAGCCATGCTTCCACGTCGACGGCCAAATCGAACATTCACGACTCCAAGGTCATGCTCTGTATTTGGTGGGACCAGCTCGACGTAGTGTATTATGAGCTGTTAAAACCGACTGAAACAATCACAGGCGATCGGTATCGAACGCAATTGATGCGTTTGAGTCGAGCATTGAAAGACAAACGGCTGCAATACAACGAGAGACACGATAAAGTGATTTTGCAGTATGACAGTGCTCGACCCCATGTTGCGAAAGTGGTCAAGACATACTTGGAAACTTTGAATGGGAAGTCGTATCCCACCCGCCGTATTCTCCAGACGTTGCTCCCTCTGACTATCACTTGTTTCGATCAATGGCACACGGCCTGGCTGACCAGCACTTCCGGCTCCTTCTTATGAAGAAGTAAAAAATTGGATCGATTTGTGGATCGCCTCAAAAGATGACCAATTTTTTCGACGCGGGATTTGTACGCTGCCCGAAATATGGGAGAAAGTAGTGGCCAGCGATGGACAATACTTTGAATCATAAATGTATAATCAGTTTTTTACAATAAAGTCTTGAATTTCGGAAAAAAAACGGCGGAAGCAAAGTTGTACGCTTAGTAAACGAAGAGTATTCGGGTCGGAACCTACATAAGTCTTCGGTACTATTGCTGTATTGTCGGATAAAGCTGAAAAGTCGGCCAGTACTGGCTGTTTAGAGATACTTCACTCTTGACGTGCGGTGCAGCGCTGGGATTAAAAAATCGTTTAAACATATTAAACGAGGAGTACGCGGGTCGAAACCTACATAAGTCTTCGGTACTATCGCAGTACTGTCGGATAAAGCCGAAAAGTCGACCAGTACTGGCTGTTTAGAGATACTTCACTCTTGACGTGCGGTGCAGCGCTGGGATTAAAAAATCGTTTAAACATATTAAACGAGGAGTACGCGGGTCGAAACCTACATAAGTCTTCGGTACTATCGCAGTATTGTCGGATAAAGCCGAAAAGTCGGCCAGTACTGGCTGTTTAGAGGTATTTCACTCATGACGTGCGGTGCAGCGCTGGGATTAAAAAATTGTTTAAACATATTAAAATGGCCGGTGGTGTCACTAAAACTTATCAGGAACTATGGAACTCTTGGAGTACTAAAAAACGGTGCAAAAAAATTAATTTTTTGAAACTTGAGGTGCCAGCTATTTTTTTTAATTTTTAAAAAAATATTTACTGACCGGAACTCTTGTTTGAATCTATCAGGAACTCTAGTACTCCTCGAGTACTGTAAGATTCCGTAAAAAAATCGACTTTCACGAATCTTGCGGTGCCACGCGAAATTAGCACCGCATGTTTTTATTTTTAAAAATTTTTGGCCTGAATCAACGGTACTATTAATAAAACCTATCAGGAACTGTAGAACTATTCGTGGTGCAAGCAGTACTGTCATTAAAATTTCCGATTTTCAAAGTTGAGGTGCTAACTTCACAGAGACCAATAGTATCGTCTGAAAATACATATGTACATATGTAAGTTCGCAGAAGTAATTCATTTGTCTTGCAGTGTACATCATTTTTATATACCATAATGTCTATCGCGTTTATCATTATCTTTGTTACCATTGTTAAAACTATAGCGGCAACGACTACAACGATGAATTCTTCTTCTCCTCAAGATATAAATACAGAAATAATTCTATATCTGCAAAAGTATGGTTATTTGAATAACATTGGGAACAATACGCAATTATCGATCGGGAGTGAAAAAATTAAACAGGCTATTTCATTGTTTCAAGAATATTATCTGTTAATGATAACATGAACTTAAAGGTTCAAAAGGATTTATTTGCACACGAAGTATTACAGTGGTGAAAACTTATAGTGAATAATAAAATGTCCGTTGTGTAAACAAAAACTAAAATTTTACTGCGCGCGCATTACGCGAGAGCGCCGCAAGCGCCAATTATCGACGAAACTACGGATTTGCGCGGTCTAAACAAATTCACTACTTTCCTTAACATCCCGGCCACCTTGAAGAATAACTTTCAACACAAAGAAACAATAAATTAGATATAACATGAGATGGCCTAAACTTAAATGAACTCAGTTATCGTATTAAACTAGTCAACTGTAATCTTAACAGAATTCATCTTAAGATACTTTAAATATAAAGTTTACAGTCTTTAATTATCTCTCCTATGGGGAGTATGCACAGCTTTCTAACAGGTCGCTTAAATATCCCGTTGGAAGTTCGTAGAGTGACGACTCTCACTTCTCCGTCAGAATCTGGATGTACTTGCAGTACTCGTCCTCTCCGCCATTGAAAAGGGGGACGTGGTCTTCTTGTATAATGACAAGGTCATCCTTCTTCATGTTGTCTCTAGAAGCCGTCCATTTGGTTCGCTTTTGCAGCTCTTGGAGGTATTCTATATCTGCCAACGGTTCCAAAATAATTGGCTTAATTTTTGAACCGTTTGCCATCTAGATAGACAATTATCTGATGTGTCGAGATGATTGCGTTGTACTGGTTGTAAAAGTGATCCTCCCGTCAAAAAATGTGCTGGCGTCAGAACTGAAAAGTCGGATGGATCACTCGAAAGTGGTGAAGTGGTCGCGAATTAAGCACAGCTTCTATTTGAGATAAAAGAGTGCTGTACTCTTCGTAAGTCAAAATGCAGCCTTCAGTTACAGTATATAAATGTCTTTTGGTGCTCTTCACCATAGCCTCCCATAATCCACCAAAATTAGGCGCTCGAGGTGGGATAAAATACCACTCTATTCGTTGTTCCGCTAATTCTGACTTAATAGCATCTTGTTTTTCAGCTAAGAACTCATATAATTCATTGAGATGTCTAGTTGCTCCAACAAAATTAGTGCCGTTGTCCGACAAAATCTGAGAGCATAAATCTCTTCGAGAAGTGAATCGCCGTAAGGAAGCCATAAATGCTTCTGTAGAAAGATTGGTCACCATTTCCAGATGTACGGCTTTTGTACTGGTACAAACAAATATTGCGATATATCCCTTACTAACATGAATTCTTTCTCGGCGTCGGCTTTCTCGAACCTGAATAGGACCTGCATAATCTATACCGGTTACCGTAAAGGGTCGATCGTAACTGCGAACTCTCTCAACGGGAAGATCTCCCATCTTGACCTCTGTTGTAGTTGGATTAAACCGATAGCACTTGACACACCTTTTAACAACTTTGCGGACTTCTCGTCTTCCACTGATGGGCCAGAATCGTAGTCGTATATCAAATAATAATTGCTCCGGTGGGCAATGAAGCAACCGTTTATGTCTGTCACGTAAAAGGATGCTAGTTACATCATGTCTAGTGAGTAACACGATGGGGTTTTTCTGATCTGACTGGATTTCTGCATGTCGCAATCTGCCCCCCACACGAATCAATCCTTCGTTGTCGAGATAGGCCGCCAAAGCACATAGTGGACTCTTCCGTGGGAGTAATCGATTCTCTTGTAAACAGTGAATCTCCATGGGAAATGATTCCTGCTGAACCCATCGGATAATAACTTTCTCTGCTCTTTCCATTTCTGTCAGACTGAATGGTGTCGTTTTCCTGTTGGATCGACAATTCTCTGCGAACCTGTAACAAAATGCTATGACTCTACATAATTTATTATATGAAGAATATTTTCTCAAGATTTGATGTGTAAAGGTCGACACCAAAGTGACAGATGGTGTCCTCAACTCCGGTAAATTGATTTCTGGATTCTCTATTAAAGATGGGTACTGCTTTCCTTCTCTTAGCCAGCAAGGTCTGTTCCATCACAATTGATCTTGAATCAAACGCTGCATCGTTACTCCTCGCGATAATAGGTCGGCTGGGTTGTCTTCCGATGCAACATGTAACGAACAGAATATCTTAGATATTCTGTTCGCTACGAATGTCTTGAGAGTATGCGGTAGTGTCTTAATCCATCCAAGCGTCACGGTACTATCGCTACATAAGATAACTTTATTGATTCTATCTGCACATGCTCTTTTTACTATGTTATATAATTGTGATAACAAAAGCGCTGCTTCTAACTCCAGTCTTGGTAAGGATATAGTCTTTAAGGGTGCTACCTTAGCTCTTGCACAGATCAATTCCGAGTGACTAATACCTTGCTCGTCTGTACTAACTGCATACAAGCATGCCCCGTATGCGGTTTCTGAGGCATCACCAAATTCATATATGTCGAAGGTTGTAGACTTGTTATTAATATTGACATTTCTTTGGATTGATATGTCATTCAATTAGGTAAGCGATGCGTAATAATCTTTCCAAGCTATCTTCAGATTAGCTGAGAGCTCTTGATCCCACTCCACGTCTTGTTTCCATATTTGCTGCATGATAATTTTTCCGACGATAAGTACTGGAGCCACCAAACCAAGCGGGTCAAATACTTGTGATATCTTGGATAATACATTCCGCTTAGTGTTTGATGCAGTCTCCTCCAATGTGACTCGGTATTGAAGCGTGTCTGATTCGCATTCCATAAGAGTCCTAATGTTTTGAGTGGCTGATCTTCGTCTATCACAAGTAGGTTATTTGCTCTACTGTGCTCTGATAAATGTTCCAACAGACTCAGACTACTTGCCCTCCATTTACGTAAAGGAAACTTTCCACGATCCAACATTTCGATTAGTTGTTTTTGCAAATCTAACACATATTCAAGGGTAGATCCTCCAGTTAGGACATTATTCATGTAGAAGTCCTGTTCTACAACTTTAGCTGCTAAAGGTAATTCCTGTTTGTGTATTTCGGCTAATTCCTTGAGACATCGCATGGCCAAATATGGTGCGCAAACTGTTCCATATGTCATGGTATTAAGCTGATATAACTGCAATGATTGTGTTGCTTCATCGCGCCATAATATAAGCTGTAGCTTTCGATCTCTAGGGTCTACTAAAATCTGACGAAACATTGATGTAACGTCCGCTGTTAGAACAAATTCATGCGTTCTAAATCGCATTAAAAACTGCTGCAAATCCGCTTGTAAGTTCGGACCGGGCATCAATTTATCGTTTAATGAATTACCATTTGTGGTCTTTGAAGACGCTTCAAAGACGACTCGTAATTTTGTCGTCATACTGTCGGGGCGAACAACAGGTTGATGTGGAATAATGTAATGTTCCTGTGCTAACAGAACATCCGGATTTTCTACCAAAGACATGTGACCCTGTTGTCGATATTCATTCAGGAATTCCTTGTAAGCCTCCTTCAGTGTGGGATCCTTAGCGAGTGACGCTCTAAATAACTTAATCTCCTGACCGCTTGTGGCATAGAATCTCCTAGACTTACACTTGAATGAGTCGGCAATCGAACAATGAATCGACTGTCTTTTTGTTGCGTAACAGTATGAAGAACTTCTCACAGTGTATTTCCTCTTTTGTATAGGAACGACTTTCCGGCATCTCTTCTAATCTCCAAAACCGTTGTAATTGATCCTGTAGTTGAGTATTAGTAACCATATTGCAAAATCTTGATGCAGTTGTGTGCTTTTCGGTTAATTCTCCACCGATAATTACTCCTAAATGCGTATCTTGTAACGCTGGTTTCCCTTTGATTTGATTTTCCGGTGCTCCGCTAACAATTTTCCAATATACTCCTGCGCCTAGAAGCATATCAATGGATCCTGGTTTGTCATAGGTAGGATCCGCTAGTTTGACATCCTTTGGAATGTATTTCGTTGATGCTTCTATTTTAGTTTGCTGTAACTGCTCTGTAATCTCTGGTACGACTAGACAGTCTACTGTAGTCTCAAATTCGCTATGTATTGACTTGATATGAATGCAAGTTGCTTTACCAACTCTTGTGATAGTCTTGTTAATTCCATTAATCGGACGTACTTCATTGCGACATGATAATTTCAATTTTCGAATTAAATCGGCTGTAACTAAATTGGATTGTGATCCTGGGTCGAGTAACGCTCGACAGTGCCGCTCTTCCTGTTTTTTTGACTTGCTCCTGTTACCCGAACCCTCGCGGTCGAAAGAATCACTCTGGCATCTTGCTGATTTGTGCAATAAACATTGGCTGTAATGTTGTTTATATTGATGGATGATTGTTGTTCGAGGACTTGTGATGACTCAACTGATGTGTTATACTTCGATTCTGTACATGTTGTAACGACTGATTTTGGTGTATCCTCGCTGGATGACTTGACTTGAGCATTGCCTCGCTCTTCTTGATCTTCTTTGTGAATTATCGAATTGTGTTTCTTGTCACATCTTTTGCATGTTGAGCCTTTACATTCACGGATGTAATGTCCTGCGTTGAGACAATTAAGACATAACTTCTTGTCAATAAGCTTCTGTTTACGTTCTGCTATTGGTAGTTTTAACAAATCGCCGCATTTGAAAACTGGATGATCTCTGTCACGTCCGGGGGCGCGTGAGTGCGGATACCCCTCGGACGCGGCGTGGGCCCGTCCGACGACGGCTCGGCGTGATTCTCGCCCCGAGCGGCAAGGGCGGTAATCACGGTTACTGGAGTTAAGGAGAGAGGTCGACTGTCACAAAATGATTACGTAGAAAATTAAATTCGCGGAGTTAAAGACGTTTATTTATGTACATTTTTCATTATAAACGCGCGCGTGGAACAGAACTGTCCGGTGACAGTCTCGACCTTGACGACTTTGGGCAGTGGTCTCGCGGGTAGAGGCGGTGGAGGTGGCAGATCTTGGCAGTTGCCAGGGACGGGATAGTAACCTGGCGGCTGGACAATGCGGGGGTCGGCGAATTCCCGCGAGTCAAAGTCCGCGCGCCAGTGATACTCGCGCTGCATCCGTTTTAGCGCCTTGTCCCGACCGGCGCGGTTTCCTTTTGTCATCTACAATATATCCGCTATTATTAACGACAGGCGGCTATAGATAGGGTGAGCGGCAGGGGGCCCTGAAGGGGGCTCTTGTTCTCCGCTCGGAAGGGCGGCCAGGGCTCTGTTTTGAGCGACTGGAGGCCCGGGTTAGGACGCTCTGGAGGCCCTGAGAGGGGCTTCCTAGAACGGAGTTCAAGGAGGGAGATTCAAAGGTGATGCCTCGGCGGCCCTGAGAGGGGCTTCCTAGGCCAGGGTGTAAGGTGACTGTCGCCCCGGAGGATAGGGAGCCTGGCGCGGTTCTCATGCGCCACGACGCGCGAGGCTTCCTGCTCCAGATTCACTGAATTATAACGATAATCAGACGGCACAGACGTTACAAGCGCTTCGTATCGGCTTAATTATGCCCGCGCGGAAGGAGAGTGAAAGAAGAAGAGAGTGAAAAAAAAAGAACAAGAGAAAATGAATGTTAAACGTTTTATTCTAATTTGATTTCTAGTAATAAAAAGATATATATAAAGTATTGAATAAGAAGACTGAGATTCGTGTATGCTAATGGTTCGCACGCGATAGTTCGGAAAATGTAATGGTTACACGAACGGAGGGTAATGTGACTGATATGGAAGCGCCACATGGAACTCACTCTGCGTCGCGATGTTGCTCGGCTATCCTTGGCTGTGCCTATTATGGAAGGTGGGGCCTCAGGATTTTCTGCGAACGAGCACCCTGCTTCTAAGGACGATTCTCTGACGAAGTCTACCAGGCAACCTTTCGCTTGTCACACTCCGACACCGAACTCTAATTAAGACCCTCTGTTTCTTAGAGGTCTGAGACCGACTGAAGACGCAACTCTAATGATACTGATCGAATACTCTAATGTTAATGATCTAAAAGTCGAAACTCTAATAATCGCTGACTGACTTTGGTGTGCGCTTTTATATCGTTAGAAGTGGTGGTGCTGAGCGGGAAAGGGGGTTGACCTGTCAACAGTTACTAGAATCTTTTGAAATGTTCTAGAAGTTTCGATCTAATAAGATTTTATTAGATTTTACTGTTTTAAAGGGAGAAATTGCCGAATTTAAATGTTGACAGGGCCCTCTTAGTCGCTCCGCCCCTGTGACACAATGTGCAGTCGCTGTGCGCGTTTATTCGCGTTACATTCCGTCGAATGATGTTTCCCTTTTTTTATGCATAGAGTTTTGGATACAGAGCGTTCGTGCGTTGCTTGTATCGCGAAGCTTCTAACGGACTTCCGCAGGTTTTGTTAGAAGCTTTTGGTGCACTTGCGGATGCCATTCAGCTACGTATTCTCGAACTTAAGCGCAGTATTAGCCGCTTTATGAATCGGCGAAGCTAAATTTGCAATTGCAATTATTGAATTTAAATGAAATAAATTTATTGATTAATTTGGAATACTGCGATAGATCGAGAATAGCAGAGAGCCTCTTAGTTCCCTACGGTTTTATCATTTGATATTATGGGGTGCTAATTGGTTTCGCTATTGATTTAAATGGATTTTCACGCGATTAATTATATTGGATCGCGCAAGCGCAGTACGGTTTTGTAACAGCTGTTTGATCACGCGCTAAACGCGTGATCACGGTTCGCGAGAATTTCGCGGCTGTCGTGACAGTTCGCGTTGCCACGGCAACGCGTCTGGCGTCGTTAAAAGTGACGTTCGTCTGCGTGCAAATTTCGGCGGACGTTACAATCTCCTTCGCAAATCTTACACTTATTCGTTACGGAAACCAATGCTACTTTTCTCTCGCTTTTCTTTGCATCTCGATTTAACGGCTTTTCTGTCTTTGTCTGACCTTGCTTAAGGATCTTCATCGTGTGACATCGCTCCGTCAAGAACGTCATGAATTCCGACAATTTCGATATATTTTGCGGTGTGCGATTTTTAATAAGATTCTGCCAATCTCTTTGCTCGATAAAGTCAAGCTTCTTTTTTGCTAATTGCAGTAATATCGCGTCCCATTCATCTACGGGTAGTGCAAGCGTTTTCAATGCAGAAACATGTGTTTGAATATGCCATATAAACTTTCGTATCGAATCTGCTTTATTGTTTTTTGTTATCTCTGGAAAGTTTAATAATTCATCCAAATGATTTTCAATAATTACCATATTATTGTCATATGTGTCCTTTAATAGTTTCCAAGCGTTCTCATAGTTTTCGCTGGAAATTCTGAATCCTTCAATCACGCTGCGAGCTTCTCCTTGAAGCACTCCGATGAGATACTGATGCTTCTGTACAGCTGTCATCTTGATGAATAGTAGTCTCGAAACTATCCTTTAAAAATAACCACTTAGTGTACTCTCCATTGAATTCCGAAAGCTTTATTTGTGGTAGCTTCGGTCGTCTGCGTGTAATTTCCAATATTTCTTCCGAATCTTCCTTTTTTGCGCGTGCCGCTGTTTGCGTTAATCCTTCTCGAATTATTTGCTGTGCCTTTGCCGCAGCTTTGTAATATAAGTTCTCGAAGATCTCTTTTTCTGGATCACCTTGTTTGCTCTCCTTCCTCCTCGGTAGGGGTTGCTCTGTCATCTATTGTACTTTGTATTTCCTTAAAGCTGTAGTAAAACTCTTCCAGTTTTTGCAGTCTGACCTGCGCCTCATCAATCGTGACATTTCCTGCCTCGAAAAAATGCAATATGCGAGTACCTTTAGTTTGCGCTCTGCGCTGCTTTAATTTACGCATATCTACTTCCATGTTGTATAGTATGCTCTAACTTAATAATCTGCTGACCTGAGTTGCGAAGATTTCCTGCCGATTTCCTCCGTTGAGGTTAGAAAGATCTTCCGCCGATACCTTGTTGTGGTTATGTCTACCTACTTGCTTTACGGGATGTATTTCCAATGCTTATTATCGCCGCCGTTTACTTCGTGCCGCATGTTGGGCGCCAAATGTTAATGATAACATGAACTTAAAGGTTCAAAAGGATTTATTTGCACACGAAGCATTACAGCGGTGAAAACTTATAGTGAATAATAAAATGTCCGTTGCGTAAACAAGAACTAAAATTTTACTGCGCGCGCATTACGCGAGAGCGCCGCAAGCGCCAGTTATCGATGAGACTATGGATTTGCGCGGTCTAAACAAATTCACTACTTTCCTTAACATTATCAAATACAAGGTGATGGTACATTGAACGATCATACGTTACATTAAATGCGTAAACCGCGATGTGGTCTTCCAGATGTTCCATATCATGAGCACAATACAGGTATACATAAATGGATGAAAATAAACCTTACGTGGAACTTTCATTTGGCAAATGCAAATGTCTTAAAAACTATAGCATTCGCATTCTCGTTATGGGCAGCAAATTCATCCTTAACATTCGAGCGTAAAACCCCGACATTTTAATATCTTACCGTAGTGGTAAGATATTAACGCATATGTTGATCGCAAACGTAACGCAGAAATTTGCCCCTTTTCATTCGGTCGTGGTGGAGTACTCGCTCACGCGTTTTATCCTTCACACGATCCTAATTACACCACCGAAATACATGTTGACAATGCAGAAGCCTGGCACATATACCTAGACGGTAAAATACCTTTCAACTCGGAACGTCTACTTCATATGTTAACACATGAAATCGAACATTCGTTAGGATTAATGCACAGTTCGCGCGAAGATTCCGTAATGTTTGCGTTTGCTAAAAATACTAATACAACTGTCAAACTCAACTTAGAGGATATTTTAGCGATTCAGCATCTATATGGAAGTAACAAACCAGGAATAACAACAATAACAACTGCTACAAAACCACCAATAACGACTACTGAAATTCCAACAAATAAGCCTGACAAAATAGATCTCTGTGAATTACAATATGTGGATACTATATTAATATTAAATCATCGAATATTCGTCACGTATCAACGCTACGCATGGTCGATAAATATAAATGATAACAAACATAACGGGCCATTCGAGCTAAATACTTACATGAATTTCCTTCAAAAAAATTTCTCTTTGTCAGCCGCATACCAAACACCTTCGGGTGAAATAGTGCTATTTATAAATAATATGGTTTATATGGTCAATTATCCCAGTTTCAAATTAAAAGAAGGCTGGCCGAAACTCTAAAAAATTTGGGATTTCCTCCAAACGTTGTAATTAATACTGCGATAAATACTCACAAAGGACAAACCAAAGTGATCTTCGACGATAACGATGTGGCGCAAATAGACGAATGTATTCTGTCTGTTAATCTATATCAAACAATCAGTATTTCCAGGAATATCACCATCTCCAACATGGCTTTCCGACATATGGATGGTAATATTTATTTTGCTAAGAAACAACAATTTTGCCAATACAACGAAATCAAGAGAATCGTGACAAAAGCGCATAAATTTATTGAGTATGGGAATAAGTTTCCGTCCATTGTAGAAAGATGTCGTTAGTAGCACTGCTTGTGTGTTTGATAGAATGGCAACACATGTGTTTGAAAGGTTTGTGTTCAAACTTTTGAGCCCAATAGTTGGCATTCGTTCGAAGCGTAAAAAAGAGTAACTTTTTTTGCGTTGAAGATGTCGGAATTTATTCCAAAAAAGCAACATTTGCGGGAAGTTTTACTCCATTATTTTATTTTAAAGAAAAGTGCTGCAGAATCGCACCGTTTGCTCGTAGATGTTTACGGTGAGCATGCTCCATCGAAAACCAGTTGTAAAAAATGGTTTCGGCGATTCAACAGTGGTGATTTTAACGTGCGTGACAAATAACGCGAAGGTGCACCGAAAAAATTTGAAGATGCAGAATTGCAAGCATTACTCGAAGAAGATTCATGTTTATCGTTCGATAGGTTGTCAAAAGAGTTAAATGTTGATAGATCCACTGTTGGAAAACGTCTACACGCAATGGGAATGGTGCAAAAAGAAGGAAATTGGATGGCATACAAATTGAAAGAGAGAGACTTGGAAAGACGTTTGGTCATCTGCAAGAAGCTTCGTCAACGACAACAAAGGAAGGGTTTTCTACATCGTATCGTAACTGGCGATGAAAAATGGATCTACTACGATAACCCTAAACGCTTGAAAGCATGGGTAATGCCAGGTGAACCAGTGAAAACGAAATATCCATGCTTCGAAGATTATGTTGTGTGCATCTGGTGGGATCAGAGAGGTGTTATATATTGTTACGCCCATGCTCCGTCGCATGCCATGCTGTGCTGACACCCGTGGTGTCGCGTTGTCAAGACGACGTGCCGTTGTTGACGGTGGACAGCTGTCAGATCTTCGGAGAGCAGTCAAGACGTATGGACGTGCTTCTCCGCCGATTACACATATTATCGTTACGTTACTTATGTACTGACGATCTCGTGGTGCCGACGTTACTTTTTAAAATTAAACGGCTTCTTATTTCCTACTTTTTAAGCCTTGAGTCTCTTTATTTCCGTGGCTCGGGAATGCGCGTAACTATCCGAGTGCAATCTCGTGCATCGGGCGCAACATTTTGGGGGCTCGTCCGGGATCAGAGGGTCTCGAATGATTCGTTCACCGACCGTCACGACAGGGAGAGCTCGAATGCATAGTCCGGAAGGATCGATGACGGCGGAGCCACGAGATATGGAGACAACAGCGGAGGAGATAACCCCGCAGAATCAGGAGACTTCCTCGACGGTGTTGCAGACAATGTTACGGGAGATGCGATAACTGCGTGAGGAGCAGCGGCGAACGGGGGCGGCGTTTGCGGAGACTCAACGTCAGCAGAATGAGCAGATCTTCCAATTACAAGAGAGACTGCGTCAGATTCCTGCAAATCAGCTAAGTCTTTCTAATAATATTCGCGGGCGAGATTCTTTCGCGAATGTCGTCGATCGCGTTGATTTCGCCACGGGCGGAAGTTTCGTCGCGGGTGTCGTCGAGCATGGCAATTCGGCTGTGCCGTTTCACGCGGATATTAGCGGGGGCGCCGTTGGTCGTTTTGATGCGCCTCCGGCATTTCGCGGTCAGATGGGCGTCAAACTTAAGCCGGATATTTATGAGGGGAACGTACCTTTACGCGAGTATCTTGCGCAATTTAACCTAATCGCTAGAGCGAACCGTTGGGAAGACGACACAAAGACCGCTATTTTGGCGTCGTGTTTACGAGGACGAGCACGCGCAATTTTGGAAAACATACAAAATTTAGAGAATTTGCAATTCGAGGAATTGCAAGTCTAAACTTGAGATGCGTTTCGGGGAAACGCAAACGTTGCAAAGTTATTATTCGCAGTTCACGAACAGGAGACAAAAATTCGGGGAGAGTATTGCCTCATTAGGCTCAGATATCGAACGGTTATCGCAATCGGCATATCCGGAATGTTCCGATACGGTTCGCGATAAAATCGCGGGCGCACAATTTATTTCCGCTCTATCCGACGGGTTCGTAAAGAGTACAAAACGAGGGTGTAACGTCTCTCAGAGTGGCGATTGAGCGTGCAAAATCGGTTAAATTAATACAGGAAAGCAGTTTTCAGTGCAAAAAAGGGGGAAAATTTTTATAATTACGAAAGAAAAAGGGGAAAAATTTTTATTTTGAAAAACAAAAAAAGAATCAGAACGAAGATGAAGACAAAGAAAGAAAATTTAATAAAAATAGATTTAAAAAATTTGAAAAGGAAAGGGATTTTAAGGAAATTAAAAAAAGCAATAATAAAGAATGTTGGGAATGCGGTAAAGAGGGACATTTCCGATCAGAATGCCCAGGTAAATCGGTAAACCGGGAATAGTCGAACTTTGCGGGGTGCGTTCGACTAATTTGAGAGATACCCCGAAAAACTTTAGTTGTAATAAAAATCAATGTTCTTTCAGGTTCAATAAGTTTAAACGTAATTTAACGAAATTCTGTTTCCAAGGAGAAGTAAATAATAAACTAAAGATCAATCCAAAAAATGTGTTCTTTTTGGACGAAAGGTAAAATATTTGGGGCATGTTATTTCGTCTGAGGGAATTTCTACAGATGAAGAAAAAATTGCTGCCATAATCAATTGGCCAATCCCACGAAACAAAAAGCATCTTCGAAGCTTTTTAGGTCTATGTGCTTACTACCAAAAGTTTGTTAAAGGATTTTCTTCGCTAGCAAAGCCGCTTTATAGGTTAAGTGAAACTCAAGCGAGATTTGTTTGGGATAAGCAGTATGATGATTTATTTAATGAATTACGGAGAGCGCTTAGTTCTTCTCCAATCTTATCTTTTCCACGAAGAGAAGGTAAATTTATTCTAGACACTGATGCGTCAAGATGTGGAATAGGGGCAGTCTTGTCGCAAACGGAGGAGAGAAGGTGATTTCTTACTATAGTCGCGTCCTTAGTAAAACAGAAAGAAATTATTGTGTGACGCGGCGAGAACTTTTGGCCATTGTTGAAGCGATTAAGCCATTTCATCATTATTTGTATGGTAGGGAGTTTGTGGTGCGGACGGACTATGCGTCGCTGATTTCAGCGATGCATGGTCCGTCCGCACCACAAACAAATAATTGATATCCTTCAAAGACTTGGAAGGCCAGTTAGCACGGTCGGAAAGGCTTCAACAATACAACTTTCAGGTCATTTATCGGAAAGGAATTCTTCACGGGAATGCAGATGCTTTATCCAGACGACTCTGTGCGGGTACTGAATGTTAGTATTGCGCAAGGACTGAGATCAAAGAGGCTGTAAAATTAGAAAATTCTGTTGCTCGGATTATCTTGGCTGAGAACAATGGTGAAACCTGGCGACAGG